GGCCTGAGGCTGAAGGAGGTAAGTCCTGTTGCTACCCCGGTCTTTTGATCTTCTTTTTCCCTTGACGAGAATCTTACCGGGCTATCTTTCCTTTCGCGCAGGCGGGGGAGATCGGACCCCTTTCAGCTGACCGGCTTGGTTTGGGCTCTTCTTCGGAGTTTGCCCGGCTGAAGAAAGAGAAGGAGGAGATGGCTCTCATCCTAAAGAGCCAAGCTGATGAGTTGGCCAGGCTATCCGGGCTGACCGGGTCGATGAGGGCGGAGATCTCTCACCTTAAGGAAGAGAATGGCCGGCTGATGGACGAGGTGTTTGAAGCCAAGAGGGAGATGGCGGAGAAGGAAGAAACCTTCCCCGGGCGTGCAGCTGCCTGGGTGGAAGAGAACAAAGCTGAAGCTGCCCGGGTGATGACGGCGACTCCCGAGACCACGATGGAGTCCTTCAGGCTTCTTTACCGGGAGCCTGAAGGAAGGAAGATGATTACCGCGATTGGATCCTTCGGATTCAAGAGCGGTCAAAAGAAGGACATGATCGCCTCTCACCGGGTACTGCTCAGAAGAGATCCGGACTTCACCGCTGCATCATACGGCTTGGCCTCTATCCCGGAAGAAGAGCCGACTCCCCCCTTCCCCCTTGACTGATCTCCCCGGCTGTGCCCGTTTATTCTTTGTAAAACTTTTAGTAGAGATTCCCCCGGGTAAGCCCGGCGTACTTGTAATCATTTGACATTTTTAAATTCGAATGCCATGTTTGTTTTCTTTACCGGTGAATCTTCCCTATCTGCCTGCTTGTTGATTTATACTCTGCTTTTGCTTCTTATAAATCCTGACCGGTAGCCCAATCAGACCACTTCTCATTTGTTTCTGACCGGGAGAACTTCAAAGTTCTCCCTGATCACTTTATCTGAAGGTAGCTCGAGTAGCTTTGACCGGTTAAACTTCATTTTTTGCTTTTCGAACATCTTCATCATAAAAAGTTTGACCGGCCGACCTTTACTTTGGCCTTTTGGGTAGTTTTGCCAACTCTTTGATAAAGTTTAGTTTGACCGGTGAGTTCCTACTCCATGGTTTGACCGGTCAGCTGCCTTGCCTTTCGATGGATGTAGAAATTTCGAAGTTCTGTTGTGCCCATACCCGACCGGGGTATTGCTGCCTTGCCTTTCGATGGATGTAGAACTTTCGAAGTTCTGTTGTGCCCATACCCGACCGGGGTATTCTCTCTCTTCTTTTTTTTTATCGGTAGGTTGTGGATGGAAACACCTGTAACCTAGTAATTCTTGAAATATTCTTAACCGGTAAGAATACTGGAGATTTAACCATGTCGAATGGTTTCGAACCCTCTCCAAGGTTCAAATGCACCCTTCTTCCAGGGCCCCCTCTTCCGGGTGATTAAGTCTTTTAATGGCCCTTTGATTTCTACCATCCCGGGAAGGCCTTAGCTCACCCCC